ACACACACACACACACACACACACACACACACTCGTTCACTCCCTATTTCCTCTGCTCCCACTTTTTCTCTGGTGGACTGCGACTGTAGTTTTCCGCAGTCGCCACCTCAAAGTTTGCTGACGACCTCCACCATGAACGACTGAACCTCCTTCATCTGCGCCTGCGTGATCGCCCCTGACTGTCGCCACAGCGGCAGCAGCTGCGAGAGCGTGACGACCGCCTTAAGGTCGTAGCCGAGGCCCCCGAGAAACTGCTTCGCCCCCATCTCGCGATCAATAAGAACCACGATCGACACAATCTTTAGGCCAGCCGCCTTTAGCTTCTCAATCGCCTCCACCTTCGTCTCCCCGGTCGTGACGAGGTCGTCGATGACTACCACACGGTCGCCCTCCTTGTAGTCGCCCTCAATTGCGGCCTTCGTGCCGTACGCCTTCACCTCGCGGCGGGGGTACACCAGCGGAATGTCCATCTCGAGGGCAATGGCGGTGGCGATGGGGAGCGCCGCGTACGGCAGGCCGACGAGACGGTCAAACTGCAACGTCCGCAGCACCTTGGCGTACTCGCGAGCCACCATGCGCAGAATGGACGGGTGGCTCACCAGGCGGCGCAGGTCCAAATAAATCGGCGACTTCTTGCCAGACTTCAGGGTGAAGCTCCCAAACCGAACGCAACGCGACGCCACAAGTGTCACCGCCAAATCGGTTGAGGTGTCCTTGCAAAAGCGAATGCGGTTGATGTTCTCGCAGAGTTTCTGAGCCGCGGCGCGTGGATCCCTCGCACGTGCCACCGCCCGAGAGACATTGATAAGCATACCGCTGCCGTCGGCACGAAGACCGGCGTTGAGTGCCGCCTTAAGATCACCGCCCTGGGCGCCAATACCAGGAACGAGAAACCACAGTGTCGGGGCACGCACACGCACGCGGCCTAGAGCGACCGGGTCTGTAGCCCCCACAACAAGACCAACGTTATTGTTGTGGTTCCACGCCGTCTCTGCACACTCGGCAACCGATTCGTACAGATGGCGGCCATTCACGCGGAGGCACTGAAGTTCATTAGAACCCTTATTGGAGGTCTTGCAGAGGACGAACACCCCCTTCGACGCAAACTGCAGAAATGGCGAGAGCGAGTCCGCCCCCATGTACGGTGACGCCGTAATGGCATGAGCCTTGAGGTGCTCAAAGGCGGACTTGGCGTACGCCTCTGCCGTGTCAGCGATGTCGCCACGCTTCGCATCCAGCACAACGGGAATGTGGGCAGGGACGTGGGCAATTACCTGCCGCAGCGCCTTCCAACCCTCCTCACCAAAAAATTCAAAAAAGGCGGCGTTGGGTTTGTACGCGGCGGCGTATTCCGCAGTGGCGTCAATCAAGCGCATGCACTCCTCCGCCGCCGCGGCTGCCGTCTTGGCGCGAGGGTCCAAACCAATGCAGAGCAGCGTCGACTTTGCCCGCTCATTGAGCATGTCGAAAAACGTCATGGTCATATTTTGCTGCGCCTCTTTGCTTTGGTTACCCCGCGTTATTAGCAGCGCCCTTTTTTTGTCTTCGTTTTTTTTTTTCGTGTTGGGGCGGTTTTGCTTCCGGCGGGCACGTTTGGGTCGCGAGAGAAAAGCGGATGAGTTGTTGATCCTGTGCGCTCAGACTGCAGCGGCGAAGAGAAGCGTCAAAGGGACATCAATAAAAAAAAAAGTGGAAGAGACGTCAAGACAACGCAGCAGCAAATGAAGCTCACAAAACACGACGGCGTCTGTGCATCGTGCCAGCACTCTGGACGGCGAGTAGCTCGTGTTCCCCATTTCCATGCCGCTCTCTCTCTCTCTCTCTCGCATACCCCCCCCCATCCCCGCAATAATTCCAAGCTGTGCTAACAACACTACAGAACCACAAATATTACTCAATCGCTCTACCAACAAGACGCCAGCCGGCGTACGGCGACCAGCCGCACTTGGACTTCAGCTGCGACTCCACCACAACCCACTCCGCGGAGAGGTCGAAGGAACGCTGGGCCGCCTCGGATAGCCCCAGACCAAAAATGCGGTTGGGGTTAGTGTGCATGAGCCGCACAACGTCCTCCAATTTCAGGCTTCGTGCCTCAAGTGCCTTCGGCCGTGAGGCCGTTGGGTGCGGCCAGCGCCCCGCACAAACTGTGAGGAGCAGTGGTACAACCACCTCAATAGAAGGCATCCCGCTTGGCGGGTTCGTTGTGTCGTTTTTCTCCTCCAGCGTGTGAGGTGCGTGATCGGTACCGATGCAGTCCACAGTGCCGTCCAACACGCCCTCCCAGAGCCGCTCGTGGTGCTCCGGGGGACGCACGGGGGGGTTTACCTTCACACGTGACCCGCAGCAGCTGTAATCCCCCGTCGTCAGGAACAGGTGATGCGGAGTAACTTCAGATGTGACAGGCAATCCATCTGCCCGTGCCCTACGGACGAGGTCCAGACCGTCACCTGTAGAAAGATGGGCCACATGCAGTCGTGTGCCGTGACGCCTGGCCAAACCAACGGCGTAGGCAACGGAGGCAGCCTCTGACTCAACTGGACGCCGCAGTGAGTGCGATGCCGGCCCTGTGTATGGGTGTGCGGAAGAAGCCTCGTCATTGTGCGTCGCATGCTCGCAGTGCGCCACGAGCGTAATACCAAGCTTGCCGCAAAGCTCGAAGGCGGCCTCCGTAACATCGGCACTGCTCTTCAGGTTCCCGGTGGAGTTGTCAAGGTAAAGCTTTAGCCCGGCACAGCGAGACTTGAGAGCCAAGTGTTGCGGCTGCGTCCATAAAGCTTCCAGCTCCTGCAGGTGCTGGTGCGCGGTGGCGCCAAAAAAAAAGCGGATGTCGCAGAACGTCTCCACAGCCTTGGCACGGCGCACCTTGTCCGCGAGTGCCGCGATGGTCTGCGTGGGTGGCTTTGTGTTGGGCATGTCACACACAACCCCAATGCCGCCAGCGTGGGCTGCCGCGGCCTCACTCCGCATATCGCCCTTCTCCTCAAGGCCAGGCTCGCGGAAGTGCACGTGGCAGTCTACAAGGGCGGGCAGCTGGACGCATCTCATAGCTGCGCCGTGAATCCTCATCATAGTGTGTGCCTCGTGGTGCTCCCAGCCGGGTTAATTGCAAATGACCCCACCCCCCTCCCGAACAGCCCACAGCGGCGGCAAAAGGTAGTCTGTAATGGTGGTAGTTCCCCGACACGACGCTGCCGCTCCCTCCCCCTCTCTCTTTATCACGTCCACTTCTCTCCCTATCGATATATATATATATATTGAAGCCAGACGTTACCGCCTCGAGCGACGCTAGCTACAACCCACCCCGCAAGCACGCCAGATAGAAAGAAGAAT